GGGTGCACTTACCCTACATGTAGGTTATGTATATTTAGTTACGGTTTATGATTATTAATCTTAATTCTAGCAAATACAATTTAAAAATGTTCAGAACTTTAAAATATCCCTGTTTATCTAGATTTATATGACCTTGTTACCCACCCTTATGTAAAAAAAAAAAAATGGTGTTATTAATACAGTACAACTGTATAAACCATTTTTTTTGGCAGATTGATGTAGTTTGAATGGGTAATGTTTAAAAGATTGTTAACGTTACATGTAAAACAAAAGTACATTTGTAAAACACTGCAGTAGAACTATGGTAACCTACCTTTATAATCGCTTATGTGTTTAGCCTCTAATTCGTCGGTCTTGTCGGTGGCATTGATAACATGCTCCTCCGCGTCTTTTACCGGTTTAATCCTCCTCCGTCTCATGTTGCTCTTCCCCGAAGGCCGTGTCAGTTTCACCGGTGCTCGAGTCAGCGTCGCCCCGGGACTCACAAACTTTGCTCCGGTCTCTTAATGGCGCGCAACGCGGTGCCGGAAAATTAGCAAATTAGCACAATCTTTTACTCAGGAAAGTGTAGTTTAAGTTTATCGATGTCTTCGCCATATTAAAAATATACAACATCAATTGCAACACAGAGACACCTCGTAAGAAAATTCCATAAACTTAATTTCAAAATTGTACGAATGTGTGTGAGAGAGAGAGAGAGTGCGAGAGAGAGTATACGATGTCTTTTTTATTATTGAATTGTCAAACTACTGTGAAAAACGGTCTGATTACCTGAAAAGATTGATTAATCAGTTGACAGATATTGATTGAGGCTGATTAATCTAGTTTTTCGTCAGGTGATCTACAGTTCTGCGCATGAGCAGTTAGTAAAGTGTGTAAGTGTGCTAGTGGGTGCAGTTCCGCGGCCAGACTGCAGGGGCGCTGTAGAGCAGCGCTGCCACACACACTCACACACTCAGAGCAGGGATTTGCACATGGTGGGGCTCAGGAAAAAAACTGCACTAGGCATATCAGCAACGCCCCCTGAGCCTATTACAAGCAACACATTGTGGGGACCGGGGAGTTGGTCCCCACTATGTTTTTGGTCCCCACTATGTGAGTGTGCTAACATGTTGAGGACCCCACCATGTAATAAAAACAAACACACACACACACACACACACAGCTGTAGTGATTGTTGTTGTGTTATTAATGTCTCTGTTCTTGTGTTCAGATGGCTGTTTTCTCACACTGGATCCAAACACAGCACACACTCGTCTCAGTCTGTCTGAGGAGAACAGAAAGGTGACATATGTGGAAGAGAAACAGCCGTATCCTGATCATCCAGACAGATTTGATGAGTGGCCTCAGGTGTTGTGTAGAGAGAGTGTGTGTGGACGCTGTTACTGGGAGACTGAGTGCAGTGGAGATGTGTTTATATCAGTGTCATATAAGAGCATCAGCAGG